TATCATGTTGGACTTGATTCTGACATCGTAAATGAGCGCTGTGACAAGATATATTTTTTATGAAGTGTTCTAAGCTTTCTGACAATTCATCCATTTATATTCATTTTTAAAAGAATATTTTCTTCAATTTTTCTTCAATACTCCATTTTTGTATATCATATAACTTCAGGTGAGAGAGTGAATATAATATTCAGCATAAATAATGTTATAAAAGCTTTTATATAAAATTTGAAAACATGGGCAAATCTGATTTTCTTTGTATACATAATTAAATCAACAATTTACGTAATTTAAACCATTTAAAGCCGAAAACAAGGTTAGAAATGAAACGGACCTTTTCAGGTGTGTGTGTTTTCTCTGGCCGAGCTGCGCTGTTGGAACAGGAAGGTGCTGACACTCTGCAGCTCTTTTCCTTATCCTCGTCTTTCTCTTCATTAGCGTCTCTCTGGTGTGGTCTCTTCATCAGTCGGCTTTTCTCCTCAGAAGCGCTGCCAGGTGTCGATTCTTCCCTGAACTGCAGCGTGTATGGATAGAGCCGATTGACCATGTAGAGCTTCTGCCCGGGTTTAAAGGTCACCTGGTTGCAGAGGTGAAGGAAACGCTGTTGGAACGCTGTTACAGCCAGCGACCTGTACAACAGTCTCGGTTACTGAGAAACACGGAAACGACAGCATCGTGGATAAAGTGTGATCATGTCAGGATGTGTGACACGCGTGTGCTTTACCTGATTGCCTTTGCCCACAACCACATCGTCCACGCTTGTAGGATTGCTACCTAACTGCAAAGCGACGTACTGATGAGTATTCCAGCATTCTGGCTCAGACGTTTGATGGAAATATTTCACTTGTGCTTAATAAAACATCATCATCTTACCTGCTTCACAGTGACGAATCCTCGGTTACAATCCGCTCTCAGTTCAACTGTAAAGTTCAGAAGTGTGTTATGATTAGCAGTGTGCTAATAACAGATTTCAATATTCCAGTGCACTTTATCCAGCGACTTCAGAAAAGCAAACTAGCACAGATCTGATATCAGCCAGTGATGCAGTGATGCAGTGATGCAGTGCTGTGAAACTACGAACCTGAACCTGAAAACCTGAAACAGATTCTACAGCCGATTATTAGAAAACTCAGTTTGAAACCTTGCACTCAAATTCAAGCCATCTGAGGTAATTCAACTACAAAACGTCACTTACAGATTTAAAAATTCTGATTTGTAATGTTTGAATTCACACTGCAGTGGCACATTTCTCTTTCCCTCTACAGCCTGTGTGTGTGCAGTCATCGTGTCGCTGGCTTTACCTTGCTGTCTGGAGCATTTCTGGTCTTTAATCTTAGTTTCTGGACCTCGACCCAGAGTGTGTGTGTGATAGTGAAGGAGCTGAATGGGTTTATGGCTCTCATCCTCACTAACGAGCCAACAAGTCGGCATTTCCCCTGAGAACCACAACAACAAACCAGACAATCACAAAACCTTCTACTGCACATTCATCACTTTTATTACAGAATTATTGTGTTAATTATACATATACACTACATGCCAGTATTACTCTAACTATAAATACATTATCACAATGCAACATATTGTTATATTTCTTTAAACACTACATGCTGATTTTTTTCCCCATTTTTTAAAAAATTATGGCAGGTTTGACAAAAGAAGTAAAAAATGTCTCATGTCTACTGCTTTCCCGACACCCATCAGGTGCAATATTGTAATGCGTTTAAATAACGCAGCCTACTGACAAAATATTAACAACATGACAATCTGACTCACAAACATCTTACAGCTGTGCAGAAAGAAAATCTTACAGAAAGAAAAGTGGAACTTTGTTAATTACCCTGCTGAAAAAAACAACAGAAACCATCACACAAAATTCTAATGGTTTCCACCACAAATACCATTACAAACCATCAGCTAACCATTAAAACCAGCACCATCACTGGTCCTTAATGGTATCCACTAGACATAACATGCCACCAGCAGAAGACCCACAGGGACCAATACAGGTTCCATTAAAACCATTAAAACCAATACAATTCCCATTAAAACCATTAAATCCATTAAAACCAATACAGATTCTATGAAGATTTTTATTGTTTTTTTCAGCAGAGAGCCAGAGGAACAGTAACTAGTTGGAGTAAGAGTAGCTAGCTGGATAAACAGTAACTAGTTGGATAAACCAGTAACTAGCTGGAGGAACAGTAACTAGCTGGATAAACAGTAAGTAGTTGGAGTAAGAGTAACTAGTTGGATAAAAAAGTAACTAGTGGGATGAACAGTAACTAGTTGGATAAACCAGTAACTAGCTGGAGGAACAGTAACTAGTTGGAGTAAGAGTAACTAGTTGGATAAACAGTAAGTAGTTGGATAAAAAAGTAACTAGCTGGATAAACAGTAACTAGCTGGATAAACAGTAACTAGTTGGATAAACCAGTAACTAGCTGGAGGAACAGTAACTAGCTGGATAAACAGTAAGTAGTTGGAGTAAGAGTAACTAGTTGGATAAAAAAGTAACTAGTGGGATGAACAGTAACTAGCTGGAGGAACAGTAACTAGTTGGAGTAAGAGTAACTAGCTGGATAAACAGTAACTAGTGGGATGAACAGTAACTAGTTGGAGTAAGAGTAACTAGTTGGATAAACAGTAACTAGTTGGATAAACCAGTAACTAGCTGGAGAAACAGTAACTAGTGGGATGAACAGTAACTAGCTGGATAAACAGTTACCTGTGTTTTGTAACTGGTTGCTCCAGTCCTCAGTTAACGCTATAAAATATTCTGTTTATCAGTTTATCGCAGTAAGAAAATCTCATTTTCTTTTGAACTGATGAAAAGCTAAAAACAGAGTAACGCTGTGAAACATGAAACAAGCGCCGAGTCCCAAATGCCACCGACTTCCTCTGAAAGCTCACTGCATAGGCGGCATGAAAAGCGCCTCAGAAGCACTAGGTAGTGAACTGAGTGCTCCATCTGATCGCATTTAGAATTTAACCCGTTTGAAATGATGGCGCATGTGCGGCTCACTTCCGGTCGAGTTCAGGGTCCAGATTTCAAAATACAAGTTGAATCTCATCCAGTGACGTTAAAGCAACAGTATGAAACTTTTTGCTTTTTTCAGACATGACTGTTTATTTAAAATATTTATTACAGAAAAACCTCATTGGCTGTTGCTTTGTGGCTGTAGTTCTCTTGTTTTTTATTTTATTTTATTTTTTCTGTTGTTGCTCTTGTTGCTGTTGGTGATGGTCTTTAAAATGTAGTTTAGTGGTGGTGCTGTAGAAAAGAAATATACAGTCAGGTCCATAAGTATTTGGACAGTGACACAGTTTTGGTAATTTTGCCTCTGTACACCACCACAATGGATTTGAAATGAAGCAGTCAAGATGTGACTGAAGCGTAGACTTTCAGCTTTAATTCAACGGCTTCAAGAAAAATACTGCATTAACCGTTTAGGAATTACAGCCATTTTTTACAGAGTTCCTCCATTTTCACAGGCTCAAAAGTAATGGGACAATTGACTGATAAGCAGTTTCATGGCCAGCTGTGGCCTGTTTCCTCCTTATATCATGATAAATTA